CTCATATCTGTGTCTTCTACCTTGTATTGTTTTCGAGGGTGTGTGTGTGTGTGTGGGGGGGGGGTCAGCTTGATTTCCTCTACTCTTCTTTATGATGCTGCTTCTTCCCCTGCCCCCTCTTGGAGGAGAAATGTCACAGTTCTGAGCAGGGAAAGCCGCCTGCTGCTGAGTTAGTTTTCTTCTTTGACTGACTTTCACAGCTTTTCCCTCTGACTTAGCAAGCTGCCTCCCTCACTCCCACACACATGCACACATGCATTAACAGACAACTATGTGTTGAGAATAGTGGACTTGTGTTTTTCCATTTCAATAACCTAATTAAATCACAAAGTTTCAGAAGCATATTTTGGGTTTGGATTTTTTTAATTTACAGAGTAAAAAACAAATGGGAATTTTTTGCTGCTGTTAAGATTCCTTTTTTCCCCTTTCCTTCCCACTTTAATTGGAGCCAAGGTGTGTAATTTTTTTAAGGTACTGTATTAAAAAAACATTAGTAAATAAACATTTTTACACGGATCTCTCATTTTAAGCTGCCTTGTTTGTTACTGATACAGATGCTGTGAGATTAGATGCTGGGGGTGCTTCTGAGTTTACTATGCAGTTCTCCAGGGAAAGCTGTTCAGGTAATGGTGTTGTGTATTTCATCTTTCTATTTTCCACCCCTCTGTTAGATCCTGATTCAGCAAGGTTCTTATGCTTGTGTCTAACTTCTAGGCAGGAGAGTGGTCAAAGGAAATCACTCTCATAGATTTTAAGGCCAGAAGGTTCTATTTCATCACCTACTTTAACCTGCATAGCACAAGCCAGAGAACTTCACCCAGTGACTCTTGTGATCCCCATGACTTGTGCTTGGCTAAAGCATCTTCCAGAAAGGCCTCCAATCTTTGTTTAAAGATGTCGAGACGGAGAATCCACAACTTCCTTTGGGAGTTTGTTCCAATGGATAATCACCCTTGATAGTGCTTTATTTCTAAGTTCAATTTAACATTATAAGGCCAGAAGGGAGCATTGTGATCATCTAGTCTGACTTCCTGTATAACACAGGCCAAAGGACTGCTCTGCATTAACTCCTCTCTTAACTAGAACCTGGCTTAAACTTCTAGTGTTTGGTTCTAGTGTTTAACGCTGTACCTTGCTCTGCTAGTTTAAAGAGCCCTTCAGTACCTGGTATTTTCTCCACATGAAGGTACTTGGACACCATATTCAAGTCACCTCTGTCTCCTTTTTGAGAAGCTAACCAGAATGAGCACTTTAACTCTCCCAGCATAAGACATTTTTTTCCATCCCTCAAATCATTTGGGGGCTCTGCAACCTCTCCAATTTCCCATCATACTTAGATATCTACCTTGCTGAATCTGGGCCATCCGGAATATTTAAAAAAACTTTCTTCCCCTTTAAAAGTAATGAATGGTCTAGAATGGCATCTGAAGCTACTATTTGTATTGCAGTATCACACAGAAGCCCTAGTTATGGAGGCCAGGGGCAGCTTGTGCTAGGTGCTATACAAATGCAGAACAAAGAGATGGTATCTGTCCCCAAAGAGTTTGCATTCTAAATAAAGCGAAGGAAGGATTATCATTTCCCATTTTATGCATGGGGAACTGAGGCCCAGAGAGAAGTATTTTCCCAAGGTGTCCCAAGGAGTCAGTGGCAAGAGCTAGGACTTGAATCCAGATGTTCTGAGTGCCAGGCCAGTATCTCAGTTCAGCTCCAGTGCTGGACCAGAATTGATGCAGAAGGGAGAGGCATGTTGTCAGGGTTCCCTGCCCACTCTGAACTCTGGGGTACAGATGTGGAGACCCGCATGAAAGACCCCATAAGCTTATATTTTACCAGCTTAGGTTAAAAACTTCCCCAAGGCACACATTCTTTTCTTGTCCTTGGATGGTATTGCTGCCACCACCTGGTGATTTAAATAAAAATTCAGGGACGAGTCACTTGAAATCCCTATTTCCCCAAAATATCCCCCAAACCCCATCACCCCCTTCCCTGGGGAGGCTTGAGAATAATATATCAACCAATTGCCTTTAATGTAAGTACAGACCAGACCCTTTATCTTTAGGACACTAAAATCAGGTTCTTAAAAGAAGAACTTTATAATAAAGAGAAAAGTAAAAGAATCACACCTGCAAAATCAGGATGGAAGATAACTTTACAGGGTAATAAAAAGATTTAAAACACAGAGGACTCCCCTCTGGACTCAGCTTCACAGTTACAAAAACAGGACTAAAACTACCTCTTAGCATAGGGAAAATTCACATGCTAAAATAAGATAATCTAATGCATTTCCTTGCCTTACTTACAATTTTTGTAATCTTAGATTAATCATATCAGGTATGTTTTCAGGAGATGTTGTTCCTGCGTGGTCTCTCTCTTGGTCCGGAGAGGGAACAATCAAAAAGAGCACAAACAAAACCTCCCCCCCACCCCCGATTTGAATGTATCTTTGGTCCTTTTGGTAAGTGCCAACCAGGTTTTCACCTTAACCCCTTACAGGTAAAGATTCAGTACAGCTGCCCAGGAGGGATTTTATGCTACCCTTATCTATATGTTTATGACATGCCCCCCTAAATCACAGATGGTGCTGGACAGCCTGTTCCACACTGGCTGTGATTTTTTTTCCTGGAGCTCTAGGAGAAAACAAGAGTTAATAAGACACATGCACCTCTAGACGTACTACTGATTATATAAAACTAACAATATTTTCCACATGTTAAGGACGATTTTAACCAGTTGATTCTGGGAAACTTTCACAGGAGAGTGCATCAGCCACTTTGTTAGAAACCCTTGAAATGTGTTGTATTTCAAAATCTTGGAGAGCTAAACTCCATCAAAGAAGTTTTTTGTTATTTTCCTTGACAGTATGAAGCCACTTCAGTGCAGCATGGTTGGTTTGCTGATGGAAACGCCGTCCCCAAACATATGGGCGTAGGTTTTC